CAGGGGAGGTAGAGTCAGTGGGCTGGATCCAGGTTTCTGTAATCGCCAGGAGGTTGAGGGAGCGGGAAACAAAGAGGTCGTGGATGGCGGTAAGCTTGTTGCACACCGATCGGGCGTTCAGGAGTGCACATGAAAACGGGGGGGAGATTTTAGGGAGCAGGGGGGACAGATACTAAGTTGCGGGGGTTGCGGCAGGACGTGGAGGCGGGAGGGTTTTGGGCGGGTGAGGGAGGTAGTGGAGGGCCAGGATTCGGGGAGATGTCCCCCGCGGTTATGAGGAGGAGAAGGGTGAGAAAGGTGGCATGGGAGCGGGATGTGCAGGAGCGTGAGAAACTACTAGTGGAGGTGTTCGGGTCAGTGGGAGAGTGGAGTAATAGGAGGAGGTGGTAGGTGCCATAGAGGGGTGAGGGAAGCAGTGAGGGCACAATATATAAATGTTTGGGAGGAGCAGAGGGATATAGTGAATGGATTTTGGGAACAGATGAGAGGAAAATGAGAAGGAGGAGTGGAAGAGGCATTTTGGGGAGGTGATGAAAGCAATAGTAGGGAGATGATAGCAATGAGGGGTAGATGTACAAGTTTTGGGGTGGAGCAGAGGGGTAAAGAAATGAGATTTGGGAACAGAGGATAGTAATATGAAGAGGAGAAGAGGGGTGTGTATTATATAAAAAGGTACACGGAGTGGAACTCAGGTATGTAAAAGATATTTCCCAGTGTGTTTCCTTGCAGACTGTCCAGCATGCAGTTGAGTTTCTTGCTTATATACACTTTCTACCCCTCCATCTAAAAAGGGTTGATTGGTTGGTCAAGCACTTTTCATCCTAACATAAAAAGACCCTATTGCATTTTACTGAAAGCAACAATTAAGACTTACAATTAAACTACAGTGTCTACAAACCCTGTTACCCAGGACCGTAAACAACTGAACATCTGATCAATTAACATTTTTTGCCTTATAGTTATACAGGTCTGCCTGTTAAGAAGAATTAGCATAGGAGTAGTCTGCCAGCTCTATCAGTCTTAATGACCTCCCTTTTAATGTGTAAATGGACTTGTAACTGGTCTATGTTTGTTCACTCAATATCTATTCGCTCTCTCTCTCTCTCTCTCTCTCTCTCTCTCTCTCACTAAATAAATAAATAATTTTACACACAATATACTACACATAAGCTGGTTGTAACAAACCTTAAGTTTAACTTTTGCCAATTTTCACTCAAAATTTAATATTAATCTGTCACTCCAGATTCCTACCAGTAATTTTCCACCAATAGTGTAATAATGCAAATGTGTTCTTTCTTCTACTACCCCGTATCAGCTCTATGATCAGCTGGCAGAAACACCGGCTGCATTCTCAGGTTCCCCCGATGGCACGGGACTGCCCGAGAAGGCCGTGGAAGGCAACAGGGGGGGGCATCATATCCCGCTGCTTGTAAAAGCAAACCTGCAGCTAGTTAGCCACTAAAATTGCTTTTACATGAAAGCCCATTGCCGGCTTTAAGGCATCATCCTGGTATAACCATACAAAGTCCAGTGATGTACCAGTACGTCGCTGGTCCTTGTTGGGTATATATGCTATGTTCTTTTTTTTTTTTTTTTTTTTTTTTTTATGCAGCCTGTGGGCTGAATGAAAAAAAGAAGAAATCTCTGCCTGAAAAAGTGTGTGCTATTCCAACCAATAGAATATACTGCCCTACATCCACCCACTTCTAATGGTGGACACACATTAGGTCACACGGTGCCACATGGGCCAGTTCTAAGATTGTACAAATGTCTAAATAGTGGCACGCTTGAATAAAAATTGTCCACGTATAAGTGGTACCCCATATGAAGAAATGATGACACCAAGTCCCAAACTATCTTGCCACTGCTCCCCATGTAGTCTGGGCATCCAGGGGGCTCCACGTGACTATCTTTTCCCTCTTAAATTCGAAACTTATATGTATAGCCTGTTGCCCTCCCACAGGTCTTCTACATCTTGACCCCATATCTGACACGCTTGCTGGGGAGAAATTACTTGAATGCAAGTTGGCCAGAAAAATTAATGAGGACTCACCAACGCAGATTTTTTGCTGGGGAGTATAGACCTCTGCAAATTTTTGGTTAAGGTGATTTGTGAGGGGCTGAATTTTGTGGAGCCGGTCAAATTCAGGGTCACCTCGAGGATGACAGAGTGTATTGTCGTTGAAATGCATAAAACACATTATACTCTCATATCTATGCTTGGCCATCAGAGAACGCATCATTGCAGCAGAGAACGTGGGCATATGATGAATCTGGTCTGTGTACCAATACAACCGCAATCCATTTTTTTTTAGTAATGCCTATGTTGAGGGTTAGGTCCAAAAAAAAATTTAATTTGGAAACCGTAATGGGTTTCCATACAAATGATCTGCCAAGGTTTGAATTTGGGCTGGCGGCGATAAATTGTTGTGCATATAAATTGCTTTGATCCACATTCAATGCATACAGATATTCCGTGAAAAACAGCTCCAAAAAATCAAGGGGTGTAGTTAAATTTGCTTTTTCCACCTGAATTCCAGGTTGGGCAGTGAATGGGGGTGGTGCAGAATTTGTGGGCTGCCAATCAGGATTTTCAAGCACATCTGGAAGGATACTATGGGCTCTACGGCTTGTGCGAATTCTTGGTCATTGCGGGAAAATACTTGTGCTCGCCCACCGCACCAGCTTGTACTGCACTTGTGGAACTCGCCACGTCACCAAGTGATACTGTAGTGCTAATATGTGAAAGACCAGGATGTACTAGGCTGCTGGTGCTCACCAGTTTACCAAAAGTTAGCGTAGCACTAGTACTGGCACTCTGCTGCATGTGAGAGTCATCAAAATTTACCGGTAAGTGCTAACAGATCAGGCCTGATTCTGCGACCACTGCAGTTTTGTGTGCAATGTATCAAGTGACAGTGACCTACTGACACTGCACTTGCTGGGGGAGGAGGGGGGTAATCGTAGGGGCTAAACACAGGTGCTGGCAGATGCCAGGGCTGATCCTGCTAACGTTGCATTTTTGGGGACACTATACTAATGTGAACTCTGGTATAATGCTGATCTGATCAAAGATTTTGATCCGTTCAGACACTATACTAGCAATGGAGGTTTATTGTGTATGAGCATGTTCCTAGCAATCAAGGGGTTAATTGTGATTACTGGTATACTGATGGGCAATCTGATGCTATCTGGGAGGGGCGTGAAAACCATAGGAGTGCGATTCATGTACTGTATATATACTTGATTTTGCGCACCCGTGCCGCCCTGTAGCAGTATTTCTGCTATAGGGTGGTCAGGAAGCGGTTACAAAAGCGGTTTGTATTACGGCGCTGCATTGCTTTAACTTGCAATTGCACGGTCATGCAAAGCTGCACCAAAATGAAATTTACGTCCTTTTTCCCCCCATGAATTGAGCTTTCTTTTCGGGGTTATTTGATCGCCTGTGCGTTTTTATTTTTTGCGCTATAAAAAAAGAAAGACCAACAATTTTAAGAAATAAAACAATATTTTGGACTTTTTGCTATAAAACATGTCCAGTAAAAAAATGTAAAAATCAATTGTCATAAATTTAGGCCAAACTGTATTCTGCGACATGTCTTTGGTAAAAAAAAAAAAAAAGAGAATACGTGTAAATTAATTGGCTTGCGTGAAAGTTATAGCATTTACAAATGGCGGTATAGATACTGGATTTACATTTTTTTTAATACTAATAATAGTGGCAATCAGTGACTTATGGCGGCAATCAGCGATTTATAGTGGGACTGTGGCGGACACTCTTACATGGGGGGGGACTGACTTGGGGTCACTGACATCCCCAGTGACACCAATACAGTGATCAGTGCAACAAAAAAAAAGCAATGACACTGTACTAATGGCACTGGGGAGGAAGGGGTTAACTTTTTGATGGGAGTGTTTTACTAGGGGGCGGGGGAGTGTGCTTCACTGTAAGCACACTGATCGAGACGGCTGAGCTCAGCCATCCGGATCAGTGTGCCCAAACTGACAGGGAGGAGAGCTGCATTGTAAACAATGCAGCCATCCTCCCTGTCAGTGTTTGCCGGCAATTACCGGGCTCCGGCGGATAATCACTGGCCGGGACCTGGTGGTTGATTCTGGAGCCGTGATCGGCAGCGCCGGCAGGGCGGTCGCACGCCTTGCGCGTGCCCCCTACACCGAAATGCAGGATGATGTTTATAAATGTGATCCTGCGCACAGGGGCCGCCTTGCCACAGTATAGGTACTGTGGGCGGTCCCCTAGTGGTTAATGCCCTTCTTGCCCAATCTGAGTTTTGATGGGCAACCTTCTATTGTTAAGTTTGTAGTGGTGCCATATTCCTTCCATTTTATTAACCACTTCCTGTCTGGACACTTTTACCCCCTTCCCGTCCAGGGCAATTTTCAGCTTTCAGCGCTATCACACTTTGAATGACAATTGCGCGGCCATGCAACACTGTACCCATATGAATTTTTTACCATTTTTTGGAGACAGATAAAGCTTTATTTTGGTGGTAATTATTCACCGCTGGGATTTTTATTTTTTTTTGCTATATAAATGAAAAAGTCCAAAAATTTTGAAAAAAGTGTTTTTCTTATAAAAATTTTGCAAATAAATATTTCATCATAAATCTTGGCCAAAATTTATTCCGTTATCTTTTTAGTAAAAAAAAAAAATACGCCAAATTAGTTATAACCAAAAATTATAATTTTTAAACATTTTTTTTACATTTTTATTTTTTTTTTTTATATTATTTGTTTTTGGTTTTTTTTTTGTTTTTTTTTACATACCGTAACCCTAGCAGTTCAGTGTCACCATGGTGACACTGTACTACTTGTGGGGGGTGATGATTTTTTTTTTTATACAGTGATTGCTTTTACACCCATATAGGATGTAAAAGCAATCATTTCTCTTTCTCTCTGTCTGCATTCTTGCAGCCATTGAGAATACTGTGTGAGCTGTGATTGGTCAGAGCTTGTCACATGGTACAAGGCTGTTGTGAATAGCCTCGTACCATGTGACCTCTGTGATCATTCACAGATTTCACACATAGTAAGCAATGATGTCACAAGTGACATCTTGCTTACTCCTTTGCATGTGATCACTGATTGGCCAATCAATTGTCCGGAGGACACAGCGGGCACCGGTTCGCAGTGCTGCACGCTCCCAGGGAGCGCACACAACTAGAAATAGCTGGTGCCGTTTATGAACGGCAACCCGCCCCTGGAGTGCCACCGCCCTGCCGTTTAAAAACAGCAGGCGGACGGTAAGTGGTTAATATGGATTTAATGATGCTCCATGGGGTGTTTCTGTAAGAATAAAAAGGAACACAAGGGGACACCAGACTGTAGCAATGATAAGTAATAGGTTTATTAAAGCCAATTAGCAACTTGCATAAAAAAGAGGTATAAAAGCATATCTGTGTGTGAAGGGAATGCAGTAGCTATTGAACCTGATGTCATCTTCCACATCTGAGGAACGAGTGGTAATCCTGCGGCTTGTGGGCTTGTAGTTGGAAAAGGAAGTGCCTGTAAACCACAGCAGTGAGCAGTGTGGAACATAGAAGCGGTCAGCAGGAAGTCAGGAAATCCACTAGTCAATGGGGTGACGCGTTTCTAAGTATCCACTGCTCTGACAAACCTGCTAGTGACAACCTCAGTTCTGCAGTTCTCTATTCACTATTAATAGAAACATAGCTACATTGAATGCTTACAGAATGTAAATATCCACCTTAACCACTTTCCCTCTAGAGGATTTACCCCCCTTAATGACCATGCCTCTTTTTTTGCTACTCGGTGCTGCACTAATTCAACTGATAATTGCGCGGTCATGGAATGCTGTACCCAAACAAAATTTACGTTCTTTTTTTCACACAAATAGAGCTTTCTTTTGGTGGTATTTGATCACCTATGCACTTTTTATTTTTGGCGCTATAAACATTTTTTTTAAAAAATATTTTCTCATTTCTATCATAAAAAATATCCACAAAAACTAAAATTTTGTCATTTATGCCAAAATGTATTCTGCTACATGTTTTTGGTTAAAAAAAAATCCCAGTAAATGTATATTTATTTGCTTTGTGTGAAAGTTATAACTTCTACAAACTATGGTATAGATAATGGAATTTACACAACCTTTACTTTCTGACTGCCCATCACATTTCTTGAGGTGCTAAAATACCAGGACAGTACAAACACCCCCAAATGACCCCTTTTCGGAAAGTAGACACCCTAAGCTATCTGCTGAGAGGCATATTGAGTCCATGGAAGATTTATTTTTTTCTACAAGTTCCTGGAAAATGAAATTTTTTTTTACACAAAGTTGTCATTTAAATTATATATTTCTCGCACAAGCCATGGGTATATGTGGAATTACACCCAAAAATACATTCTGCTACTTCTACCGAGTATGGGGATACCACATGTGTGAGACTTTTTGGGAGCCTAGCCACATACAGGAGCCTGAACTCCAATGACCACTTTGAAAGCCTGAAGATGCATAACTTCCTCATTTCATTTCCTCACTACCTATCACAGTTTCGAAGTGCCTGAAATGCCAGGACAGCACCAAACCCTCACAAATTCCCCATTTTTGGAAAGTAGACACCCCAAGGGATATAAAAAGAGGCATGGTGAGTATTTTGCAGATCTCATTTTTTCTCAGAAGGTTTTAAAATATAACAAAGAAAAGAAAAATGTTTTTTTTTTTCTTCAATTTTCAAAAACTTGTTGCAACAAATGAGATCTGCAAAATACTCACCATGCTTCCAAAAAGTGGTAATTTGGGGGGGGGGGGTTTTTGGTGCTATCCTGGCATTTCAGGGCCTCCAAAACTGTGATAGGTAGTCAGGAAGTGTAATGAGGAAAAAAAGCCCTTTAAAAGCCTGAGGGTGCTTTTTGGATTTTGGGGTCCTGTACTTGGCTAGACTGCCAGAACGTCTCTCACATGTGGTACCCCCATACTCGGGAGAAGTAGCAGAATGTATTTTGGGGAGTAATTCCACATATACCCATGGCATGTGTGAGCATTTAAGTGACAATTTTGTGTAAAAAAAAAAATGTTTGTCATTTTCCAAAAACTTGTCGTAAAAAAATAAATTCTTCTATTGATTCAACATGCCTCTCAGCAAATAGATTGGGGTGTCTACTTTCCAAAAAGGGGTCGTTTTGGGGGTGGGGGTATTTTATGGCCAGCATTAGAGGTTTATGCCACACATCACTCACTCTTCTAACCACCTGAAGACCAAGCCTTTTCTGATGCTTTTCACAGGAAAAAAAATCAGTATTTTTTGCTAGGAAATTAATTTAAACCCCAAACATTCTATATTTTTTTTTAAAGCAAAACACCCTAGTAAATACAATGGTGGGTGCTGCAATTTTTTATGTCACATAGTACTCTTGCAGCAATTTTTCAAATGCAATTTTTTTTTTTTTAGGAAAAAAAAAAAAAATACACTTTTTTTACTTTTAATGCACAAAAACACAAAATATTGGCCAATGATTTGGTAAAATATAAAAGATGATGGTATGCCGAGCAAATAGATACCAAACATGACATGCTTTAAAACTGCACATGCCCTGTGCAATGGCGACAATCTGCATACGTTTTCAATATCCATAGGCAAAGTTTTAAAAACCTTTACAAGCTACCATTTTTAGATTTACAGAAGAGGTCAAATGTTAGAATTACCAGCCTTGATCTGACATTCGTGGCGATACCTCACATGCATGGTGCAACCGCTCTTTCCATACTGGCATAGTGTCAACACTCACGAATGCAGATGTGCGCAAGGAGGTGGGGGAACTTTTTTTTGTTTATTATTTGATTATTATTTGATTATTTGTATTATTTTTACACTGTCCCCTTCATTGTTTTAATCACTTTTAATGCTATCACAGGGCTCTGAGGAAGAGGTAAAACCTCAAAATGCGTCAGCCACCAGCTATCCAGAGGTCTACAGTTCCCCACCAGACTACCTTCAGGGGTTTTTGGACCACATTGCATTCCTTGTGACATGCTTTCCATTTGATTTTATTTCTCTTAATTTGATACCATACCTTAATTACCCGGAGAGTATCCCACCACCATAAATGCATATCACTGAAGGGGACAGCGTTGTTGTGAGAGGTTTTCATCTGCAGAGGAGTCTCTTTTCATGGAGGATCTTGTTTGGTGATCCTACAGGTGTTTTGACCCATGTGGGTCGTGGCAAGGAGGTGAGGGGGCATTTCAGCTGTCTTTGGATATCCTCGTTGTTACACACATCCACTTTTCACCTGAACGTTTGCCAGAGCTATTGGATTGCTTGGTGTATACGCACCAATTTGACCTTTTTATTTTATTTTTTTTTTTTTTTATTTATTTTTTAATATGCGTTTATATTCAATTTTATATTTACACAATTTTTATTAGGTTTTGCACTTTGTGATTTTTTTTCAGTTCCGTGTTTTCCATTATTTGTCACTTTGGTATTTTATATTAAGTTTCACACTATTTATGCTTGCTATTAGGTTTTTTTTATTAGAGCTTTACCTTTCATCACTTTCCAAATTCATGGGCGAGTGATGTTTTGTATATGATATTTGGGTTTTATATGATATTAAGGGGTTTCCCTTGACACCTTTGTTTGTCCTCTCGTTTCTTTAGTCCCATTTTTACAGTGTTCATCTTTTAGTCCAATTTGGACTATAAATAATTTCAAACACAGTATTGGTTGAAATTGTCACTTTCTGGTTATCACTTTGGATCCCTGAGTGGACAGTTCACGTTTACACTGTCTTTTTATTTTTTCATTGTTTATTGATTTTTTTGTTTGTACACAATAAGTTTTTGTCATCAGATCCCTTATTGGAACGATTCACTTTGTTCATATTGGATCCCTAGTGGATCAGTTCACTTTATATACTTGATTTAGTTTCACTTGAATTATTTATTTGTGTGATCAACACTTATGTTTGCATTGTTTTGATCTTGTTCACGTATTTGTATTTATTGTTCATTTACAATAATTTAGTTAGCACTACATTATTTACTTTAGGTTATTTATCTATCACAGGGAATGCAAATATCCCCTATAACTTCAATGGGCATTGTCATATATTCTTTTTTGAGAAATTTGGGTTCTATCAGACTCTAGATATCGCCTCTGCCCTTACATTATCTAATCAAACAAAGATCGGTGTGATCAGATGCTTTCCCAATTTACAAATGGCGCTGTTTACATCCTGTGAAACTGAAGTGATGAAATGCTTGTAGCTTCCGATTTCTTAGACTATAGAGTTGATTGGCACCATTCTGGTCTCCAATCAGCTCTATTGTCAGCTGGCAGAAACACCGGCTGCATGCTCAGGTTGCCCGTGGAAGGCAGTGGGGGAGGGGGGCATCGTCTCCCACTGCTTGTAAAAGCAAACCTGCAGTTAATTAGCCACTATGATTGCTTTTACATGAAAGCCGATCGCTGGCTGAAAAAAACTTTACCAGGATGATGCCTGCAGCTGTAGGCATCATCCTGGTATAACCCATTCAAAGTCCAGCGATTGTACCAGTACCTCGGTTTACGAATTTAATTAGTTCTGCAGGACATTTCGTATAGTGATAAATTCGTAAACCAAAACACTGTTTCCCATAGGAATGCATTGAAAACCAATTAATCCGTTCCGAAGGTCAGAAAAACAGTAAATGCTACTAAAATACTGCATGAGTTATTTTATTAACTCATGCAGTATTTTAGTAGTGACAACCATGTGTTAATGTTTCAGCTGTCACGGGGTTCCCCACTGACAGCTGAATGTAAAAGAATTGCTGGCAATTAGAAAAAATGTTTTTAATTGCCGGCAATTCTTTTACGCTCAACGGTCAGGCGCCAGTTTTTAAATGTAATTACTGTTTTTTTTTCCTTTACTATACACTATTCAGTAGTTCAGAAATTCAGCTATCACTTTCCCCCTCCAGCTAAAAGAGAGAGTTTTTTATTTTTATACCCCAAGTTAAAAGAAACAATGTTGGCTCCTAGGAAAGTGACAGATAATATTGTGAGCTATAGTGAAAAAAAAAAAGACGGCAATTATATTTAAAAATCAGCACTGACATACACTATTGTGAAAAAAATTAGTGAATTCGTAAAACCGAGGCATTATTTTTAATGGATTTTCATTCGTAAACCGAAAATGATGTTAACTGAGGCATTCGTAAACCGAGGTATTACTGTATATACTATGTTGTTTTTTTTTTCTTGTATGCAGCCTGTGGACTGAATGGGAAAAAATG